TTCTGGCATTTCATCTGTAAGCATTTCCACAAGGATTTGAAAGTACTATGAAAAATTATTCAATCCTTTAGGGATATAACAAGTTAAAACAAGGAGAGCAGCTATAGATTTTGAAGATTACAGTCTCCCGATAAGGGAAAACTCAAAAATATTGCTAAATAACATAGCGGTATAAGTAAAGCTAGCAGTTGCCATGCAAGTGAAGATTAATGATGAGGATTATGCCAACAAACAATAACTTCTGGTTTTCTAGGACCAAACACATAAGGATGGGAAGATCAAATTAGTTGCCACCCATTAATCCAACGGGATAACTGGTTCATGCTTAGTGGGAGGAGACACTCTAAAAAGTGGTTACACACAAGAACTAGAAAACACAAACATATATATCCAGAAAAACAAGGTAAATAGGATCATGGCAGATCCATTGTAAACCAAAGGTTGAAGCTAACTATGATACAACAGGTGCACAGGGTCTGAGGTAATCAGAATAGAATGGAATATTGCAATTTGCTCTTTTTCACATGCATTAGAGCGGATCTAAACTGGGCAGGAATGTCAACATCTTCACTGAAACATCACACGACTACACAACAAAAATTGAAAAGAACACAACCACAAGGAATGGAAACAGAACCCTCACAAGTCCAGGGCAAACTGAAGATTGAAGCTCCTCATAATGTGATGAGGCTAACAAAATTTTGTACATTTTCCAGAGGGTGCTGTCTATAAAGTGTTTCTACTCTCTTTAGTGTGGGTTCCGCCCATTAAAGTTGTACCCTCGAATTATGACATACGTTCAGAATCGTGCTCCCTTATTCCAACAAAAAAGCCCATTTACATTAACTTAGCTTATTCAATGCACCTGATGAACAATTTCACATGTTTGATTTTACATTCTGATTATCACCTGAATACAAGCTTCCAAACTGTATTTTATCTCTACAATACCACATAACGCAAATTTACAGCAAACAAAGGATAAATTTTACAACCAAGAGAAGGAAAAAACATAGAAAGAGGGGATTCTTTTGTTCTTTTATAAATAATACCAATAAAGAGAGAATGTTAGTTATATCTCATAAAGCATATAATATTTGCAATAACATGTCCACAAAACGCAATTTCTGGAACATTAAATTCAAGTTTTACAACTTTATTTCATCTACCTCTGTGATGCACAACATATTCCTAGCTAGAATCCATATTTGTCAACCTAAATTTACCATATGTGTTCGATTCTTATCAGATCGTATCGACTAGTCCAGTTCGTTAATAAATGAAGTCATGACTTGCCCTAATGAAAAAGGGCTGGATGCTCCCCTCTCACCTACTTCTTCCTCAGTTAGTTTATTACCCAATTATGTCAATCCTAATCTACTACCTAAGCTTATTACACAGTTAATCGATTACATTGTACCCAGCAAGGTTGTGAGTTGCTCATATTTGAGTTGCCTTAGGGCACCAAAAGTAAGCTAAACTCAGGTGGTAAAACCAACCACATTTTTTTAGGATTAGAAAAGTAAAACTAGCTAATCATGAAAGCTAATACTAAACGGTTATTAAGAAACAAAATAAATTATTTATAGAAATAGGAGAAGTTGCTAATCATGCCCATGGATAGCTAGGAGAAAACTAAATACACAATGGTCACAGATGATTCCCACAAAGGAAATAAAAATTGAATTACAAGCAGAAAAAATATCAGCATACTCTGGGAAGATGCGCTGAAATATGCAAATGGACCGCGTTGAGCATTTACATCTCGTCGTCCTTGCCCACTCATTATCCTTTAGGATTTTAGAGCAGTAACCAGTATAGAAATGTAGATCTATGGAAGCAGATTATACGAATGCAGGTATCACCCTCCACCACGATTCAATGTGAAACTGATCGACTGATAAAAATGACGAGTAGAGAAGAAGAGGAGCTCTAGATAGAAAGTAACGCATCTATAGAAAAGGTGACCTACTTTCCAGGTAGGAAATAGAGTTTTTTTTTGGTCAAAGGAAAGAGAGTGATTACCTATAAATTTCACGTAATGTAGTAATGTGTTTGCATTCAATTGGCTCATTTGCTTATTCGATCCAATCACCAACCAACACGTAAGCAGGCTTAGCAAATGTAATTGGCCTACATTTGCTTATTTAGTCCTGTTCCAGCCCTTGATTACTGATTGGCCTTAAGGGACTAGACATTATGAATTATAGCAGGATTATTTCTTCCTGCACTACTCATGAGACTAGTTGAGCCAAAAAAGTGATTGCTCAAGTGTCCATATTAGAAAAATGAACTAATAACAAAGGGTTCAATCTTTGGCTTGCTTTATTCTTGAAGTAGTTCAAATATTTTCCCATTTAGCAAATTCCAGGTTTTCATGAACATATTAATCCTCCTTCTTGTAATCCTACCCTTACTAGGAGATGAAATGTCATATTATTGGATATCTTAATATAAAATTTGGATAAGGATATTGATCCAAAACAGAGACATTCATAGCAGCTCATAATGAAACATTAAGACATAAGCAGGATCTTGAACTTCACGACTACAACCTTCAATCCCTACTTCTTGCATGTTCCTCCTTTGTTTTCATCTAAATTGCTACTCTATGAAATTAGCACAATTTGGGTTTATATGATTTAAAGTCTTCAAGAAAATAGATTGCGTGCTAAACAAATTGTTCAACACAAGATCCTCACTTTTAATCACCTATACTAGTAAATCAAAGTTAGAGGATGAACCACTGCCCAGTAAAAGCATGAGAGATTAATGTAAGACTTTTCAGCGAACAATCGAAACCTTAAATGAAATAAGCCCCTTATAAACCAAGTTAGCAAACGATAAACAACTTTGAGGAATAGATTTCTTCCACATATTGTGTAAGAGCTTGGAATTCTAAGATACTATGGTTCTAATACCTTCTCAATTTTTCACTTCTCTTCGTCAGATTAAGTTTTCCTTTGATCTAGAGGTTTCTTGCCACATTTTGTACTTAGTAATATCATAATCAAGTGTGTTATTTGGAAAATTTTTAACCTCTGCATGTGCATGTTGACAAGGGCCACCTATGTATCCGGTTCACCAGCATCAACACTACATTGGTGCCAACTTCAACATTTAAGGATAAAGCAGCAATATCAGTATGTGCAAGTGGACAGACTTAGATATAAAATCCTAATATATATTTTCATATTGAATTCAAACCAATTGCATCCCTAATAGAACTTATCATCCAACCACATTCACCGAAGACAATGAGATATTAGATCATCCAAAGGCTCCATTGATTAAATTGTATCTTTAAACCCAAAATTCAATTTGCACTCGAAAAAGTCCTAATTTTTCAGTCGGAACAAACGGAAAATAAACAGAGATTCGCAACAAAACTAATGTAAAATAATGGAAACGTGTCCCCCCCAAAAAAAAAAACATGAAACATACCAAGAAATATCCAAATTTGAGCATACATAACATAGAGAGTAGGGGAGTGAGTGTGTTGTGAGTGTTTGTAGAGTGAGACCTTGAACGGGGCCCATTTCTTTCTCAACTTTGGCCTGCATATCCCGAAGAGCACCCGCTTCTTCTTCAATCTCCTTGAGTCTTCTTTTCATGTCCTCCAAGTCCTATTCAACATCAAAAAGAACAAATTAGGGCCGTCTACAAATCTATACATGAAGATAGACATTAATAGAGAGAAAAAAAAAGAAGTCCACAGAGAGAAAGTGAAAGAACTAAACCTTAGTATTAGAGTCCTCGTCTTCAGCCCTAGAAGACATCTCGACATCGGCGTCCATGTCTCCTTCATCTGGAATTTCTCCACCGTACACTTCGTGTTCTTGTTCTTGATCTTGATGCTCCATCTCTCTCCCTCTCTCTCCCTTTCCGTATGCTCTGCTCTACTTCCTCAGTCTACTCCTTCTCTCGCTATATATATGTGCGAGTACATGTCATGTGGCCTTCGTGTTGAGCTGAGTCTGATTTTTAAGGGCTCGGATTGGGAGGAGGGAAGGAGACGAGGAGGAGACGAAACTGTCATTTGGTAAATTAATCAGGGGTATTTTGGGACTTTAATAACGATTTTAAAAGTGGGTCTGGAGCTTATGAAACATAGTGAGCTGGGCTTTTGATTTGACTTCATCTGCAGGGTCAGGCCAAGATTCAAGACCAGCCCACTTAGTTTGGGCTAAAGTAAAGCTAGTCAGGCCCGTTTTGCGAGTTGATCATAATTTGAACCTCCAAAATACAATTTTTTTCCCTTTCCTCTCGGCATCACTCACCACTTTTTCTTTTTTTTAATGGTCAAAGATTGTTTGATTCAATTTATACGCATCTCAATAAATTTCCTTCTCATTCAGTTAAAAGCAGATTATCCATGTCGGAACTAGGGTATTCATAAGATATATATTTCTCATGGTCTGATCCCTAAGGAATTTTCAAAATTCAAACTCGAGACGTCTAAATTTACAATCTGTCTTTGTTACCACAATTTTTTTTTTTATGTCTCTCTCTCTTGCTCTTAGGGATGAGAATAGAGAGATATTTTAAAATTCAAGGAGAATCAAACGAGTGGGAATGATCGTTTTTTGATAACTCAATCATGCACCATATAATCTAACAATTAAGCTCGTCACTGTAAATCTTTAAGGGTATCATAATTCATTCACTCTACTTAAGTGTAGCCAAAATTTTTTTAAAAAAAATCAATACCCTCTAATTTTATATCGAGAAAATAGTTTAATAGTGTGCAATTGTAGTATTTCCTATACCTACCATATGTAGCTTAGTAAGATTTTCACCCAATCTTGGAATTTTCTTAACTTATTAGTGTAATGAAGAGACAAAGGGGCCAGATTTTTATTTTTTTTCCCTTCTTTTGGGCAAGCAGAATTTATAACTGAATCAAATGTATTGCTGTTAAATTACTTATATTTAATCTAAAACCCATAAAAAAAAATCAATTTCAATTAATTACAGCATAGTTTAATAAATAAAATTTAATGCAAGTAAAATTCATGCTCCTAAACGGTAGCTAAATCGAATTCATCCTCTTATCTATTAGCACGAATGTTTCTCATCATTAATCACCAAAAAAAAAAGAAAAAGTCCCAATTAGAACACAGAAAAAAGAGATCTTTCACCATGAAGCTTAGCAAATTCGTGGTCGTGTTTGTAGTTTACTTAGCCATCAGTGCACTAGCACCCTTACTAGCTGCACCATCACCACCTCCCAATGTCGGCAGTGACGACCTACCAGCATCGCCACCGGCAGTGTTGGCCTATTTGGAGAACTGTGCGAAGCAGCTAACTGATAAGTGTGGAAACGAAGTCTTCTTGAGTGTGTTTCAGAATACAACAGTTTCAAATGAATGATGCAAAAATCTCAAGAAAATGGGAAAGTCCTGCCATGTTAAGCTGGTTAAAGCCTTTCCCAATTTGCCTATAGACCCCCCAAGTACAGCATAGAATGCCCAGGTCTTGGAGAAGAGTAAAGTAGTGCATGCTATATAATCTTCACCTAAAGTGACAACTAATAATTTCAATCAAATGTTTAACATAAATACCATAACATAAAAATTAATGTTTAACATAAAAACATAATAGTCAAATGTTTAGCATAATAAGACTAAACCAAAAAATTGATCCTTAGTGTTTTAACTTGTAAGTTATATTGCTATATTAATTTATATATTTATTTTTAAATATGTTCGAGTTGAGTTCAATTTATATATTCGGGTTAAATCTGAAAATTCGGGGCATCAACCTGTGTACTACCAAATTCAATTCAGGTTAGTATTTTTATGCCTAGGTCTAACCTAAGTATTAAAAATCTCAACTGAAGCCCTATTTTTTTTTCCCTAGTTGAGTTAGGGTTGAATTCGAGTTAACTTGTTCAAATTGCACCCCTAGCACTAATTACTCTTTCAAACTTAATGGCAGACAACTGTGACTTGAGAGGTTTACTTTTAATAATGCTATTAAAACATTATTTAACGACAAAATAATTATAGTCATTAGATTGTCATTGAATCCTAACATTGAATACACTTTACTATTAATACGATGATCATAATATACTATTAAATTTCAAAACTATATCCTAATAGCATTAATTATTTAGTTTGACCAAATTCGGGTGATAAGTGAATAAGCCTATTAGAAGTGTGAAATAAATGAGACCATAAAATTTTTGGCAAATATAATACGAATTCAATTCAAACTTGACGATTTAAGATTATAAATTAATAAATTAGCCAATAATTAAATAAATTTTACTCACACAACCTTATTTCCGACTTTCTCCGCGTGTGTGTGAGAGAGAGAATGAGAGAGAGCTCTTACTGCCACACTTGAAATTGCGGGGGATTGTCCTTCCACAACCAGCTATCTGCTTAATGGTACGTTGAACTTCAACGAGAGCTGCCAACTTTGGAGTAACGTAGGGGCAAATACAATCGACATGACTGACCCTGGCTCACTGGCAACACTCCGGAGAAGGTCTATTGCCAGAAATGACTTGCCGACAAGCGTTAACCAGAAGCCTTCTCTCTTCCTTGCACTGGCTCGGACTCGTGTCATCATTTCCAACCGCCACCACAAAAACCACCTCCGCCATTTGCACCATCAGCAGAAGCTTTCCCACCCATGAGCTTACCTTCATTTCTCTGATCATCTTGCTAGTTACTTTCTTCTTCCTTGGTTTCACTTTCACAGACTACTTTCACATTCATATTATATAGATAGGGATGTACAGTGACTGTCTTTTATTTTCCACTGCCGTATGGATTACTCAGAGATGTCATGCCATGGACTGGTAGTCTCTAACCAACCATGTGTTCAAAGTTGATCCACCCAAACTCTTACGACTGGTTGAATAGTTGGGTCTGGTCTTTAATTTCTCAAACATCTCAATTTCAATTTTTTTTCTCACATTCTTTTAAATGTCAGTCATCCTTATCCTTACCACGGAGGTTAACTACTAGCGTTGAGAAAATACTAAGCACAATTCTAGGCACTCTATAACAAAAAAATAATAATAAAAATTTTGACCTACACAAATTATTCTAGATTTTAAGCAACCAATTTTGGACAATGATATTTAAACCTAATGTTAGGCCCTAGTTTGTGTGTTGATTTGGGCGATGATCCGACCCGAAATAATGTTGCATAATTTTAATAGAAAATTTTCTAAGGCTTGGTTCACGAAGCGAAGACTTGGAGAGGAAAATATTTTGGGTCTTTTTTTGTAGCCCAATATGCAGAACATATAAAAACTGCTACTTTGGTATTTAGGATTTGATTGTAACTGAAAGTCGTCCTCTGTATTCTGCTATCTCAATTGTAAAATTCCTATAATTTCGTGGACGTAGACAAATTGCCGAACCACGTAAAATCTTTGTGTCTTGTTCTTTCTTGTTTCTTATTGTTTTATGTTCTTGGTTTATTTTTCGATTGTGTGTGTTTGTTTGTGGGTTTAAAGCGTGTTAAATCTCAACACCTAATTGACTTATCTAATTATTTTTTATAATTACATTGACAACAAACTTTATTATTTATTGATTCATGTTATCAATTCAATAATTATAATATATTAGATTAACAAATAAAGTCAATTAATTATGTCCACATAATATTTTTTTTTAGAATTACAGGAATGATCCACACATTTAAGAATTTTACATCGAATAAGAAAGAAATTAAAAATATACTAATTTATTATGAACAAATTTATTAAAAACTTCATTAGAAAATAAAGAGATATCATAGTATTTAAATAATCATTACTACAAATATTTTATATTTATCTATTAGTTCCTCTGCCTTGAGTGTCATGTGTATTTAGTTACATCAGATAGTAAAATCATAATACATTGATAAAGCTTTTGGTTAATGAACAAAGGTTAGGGATATCAAAATTATTTGAAACAAAAGAATCAAAGTGGTCACACTTGGCAATAAATAAATGAGCTTTATATGGCTTAAGAAGACCGAGTCTTCTCGTGTAGCTGGAAACGAAATTGCATGGTCCTGTAATGTCTCTATAAGTTTTAGAGGGAAAATGTTAGATTAGTCTTGGTGGGCTGTTAGCCAAAGCCATTAGGGGTCCAATAGGTTCTCCCGTTGGGTAGTAGACGCATAACATGCGGTTTAATAAAACGCCACAATTTTAGAGTATTTTGGATTTTTTTTTTCAAAAAAAAATCCTACACCAAAAAACGGCACCGTTTTTGGTACTCCCATATCAGACTCAACATCGTTCACAAAACCCCTGTATCTGTGTTCCTCACAACCCAACAACAATCGTGGTCACCGCCACCGCCACCAATCTCTCATCTCAATCACCACCTTTTGACAAACCCTACCCTATCTTCAAAACCCCATCTCTCAAACCCTTTTCTGTCTTTCTCATAACCCTCCCAAAATCATTCTCTGTTTGAGCATTGAAGATTAAATTTATCATATTATCCTTTCGATATATTAAAAGTGTTATAAAATGACTATTTCATTAGGGTTTGTTTCTCATTCCATCAACATCAATAGGGTGATTTTTAATGGAATGAGCAGCAGAAACTAATGAAAGGGTTACATTGCAGTATTTTTGATACATCGAAGGTAAAATACAAAAAATCTAATCTTTAAAGGTGAAAAGTGAAATTTCTTTAATATTCCCGCTTTGAAAATTATACACTAATGCCTCAAAATATGGCCCATAGCCCACGTGCTGGCCCAAACTTCAGTTGTTAACTGTTTAGAACCAATTACATGAAAAGCCCATGGATGATCTGCTTATCCAGCAAAACTTTTTATTTTCATAATCTCGTCAAGAAGTAGGTCTGTCATCTGAATTGGAATCCGAATTTCAATTCGATTAGCCACATATGAATTAATATTTTTTTTATCGATAATCTAAATCTAAATTTAAATTTGAATCTCACATTTCACGGATTCAGATTTAGATATAAGTATATCTAATCTAATTATAATTCGATCTAAATTATTTTTATATTTTTATATAAATATTAAAAAAAATAAGTAATTATTTTAAAAAAATTTAGGTATAATTTGTTACCATTTAATTAATTAAGTCATTCGGATCAAATTTGAACCACAAAAAAATTCGGTTAAATTATCGAATCGGATTCATATCACAATTTTGAAATCAAATTTAAAATTAGATCAATCAAAATTCAATTTAAACCTAATCCGTTCACAGACCTACCAACAACAAGCAACTCAGAATGTTTCAGGGTGAATATAAATGTGCATTCATGGGAGATGCAAAGAAATTGAGTGTTTCCCCTAGTTGTGGAACTTTTCCAGGAGGGCCCGGTAGACCATCTTGATCCCCAAGAGGAAAGTTCACCATACATCACATCATGTAATTAAATTTATAGCAATTTGAAACGAGTTTGCGTGGCTTACGAGGTTCATTTTTCCTATCACAAAGATAAAATTGAATATTAATTAAATGATTATGTGTTAGAGTCAAATTTTATCTTATAATAAAGTAATCAAACACATTTCAAAAGGATAGCTTTATTTTATTTTTGACAATTCAACAAGGATTCAAACGACCCAATAAATAATTAATACATGATAAATTAGGTGACACCGATACAATTGGCTTTATTGCCTTGTCATTATTGATTCTAACTTTTGCCCCTTTCAACAAGTTTTCAACTTTTTTATTTTTTTATAAATTCATTCCGATCTTGAATGAAAAATACTATTTAAAACCAAAACACGCAATCTTTTTTTAATTATTCTTTTTTGCTGTAACATATTTCTCTAATTTGACATTTTAGGAAAATGTCATCTAATGGGATAAGATCTACGGATCGCTAATAAATAAAACAGCATAGGATCGATGGTTAGTCCAAAAAAAGAGTAATATTATTCACATACTCTGCCAATAAAACGCGAGGATATCTGAGATTTGTGTGTTAATTTGTATAACATTAGTTATCAATGACACTCTCTTAATTTCACCTCCCTCTAGAGGGAAATATGTTAGTGAAGGACTATATAACAAATTACTTATATCAATTAAAACCCCTTTATTTTAGTGTAAAATGTGAATTCAAGAAGTTATAATATCAAGTCAACACGACTAAAACCATTAATGAAAACCTACCCCAGTGCTAATAATTAATAATAACAAATAAAAATAATGTCAAAACACGCAGACGTGACCAAATGCAAAACCCCACACCCCCCCCCCAAAAAAAAAAAAAAAAAAAATTGTTACATGAAAAACTAGTCTGAGTTGCCATCAAAGTAACAGTGACTTAAAATTTATCGGTTTTTTTGGATTATTGAAACTGTAGTATGATGTTGGGTAATATATTATTAAAATATCCATGCATTTCCTTTTAACATCTAAAATTGATATTCGCATACCAAAAAGGTTTTTACAGCATCTAGCTTATTCACAAGAGGAATGTTATTAGGACTTGATTTAATGACTTAATTTGTTGATATAATTTATTATAATCTTTGAATTAATTGTGAGTCACATTAAACATTGAAATTTAGTTTTAATCGAATGGTTACAATGAAGTCACATCATTATATTAATAAATTAGATCGTAAGTGTGGTTCAGGAGGTAACTGTTATGGATATCTCAACAAGAAAATGCTCGCGTGACAATTTATTACGAAAAATAAATGTTTAAGCAGCAACTTTCATACAACCTATTGTATTGCCATTAAATTACCTTTATTTTGGTTTAAAACCCTCACCAATTAATCAAATATAAATAGAATTTAAAGCATTCAAAAACGCTACTAAACGTTTTCCCCTCTAGCCTATAAAACACAAACACTCGTCTCGTTTCTCATCACCCATCCATCACTAAAGGAAAAAAATATCAGTTCATTTCTCACAATGAAGGCTACCAAGTTCTTTACCTTGGCCATAATTTACTTAGCTAGCATTGTAGTAGCACCCTCACACGCCAGAGCTCCACCACCACAACCCGACTTCTATGTCGACTCACCCTCACCATCACAGGGTTCTGTGGCGTCTTTGGAGACTTGTGCAAAGAAGCTAACCGAGAAGTGTGGTGATGAGATCTTGTCAGGTGTGTTTCAGGACACAGCAATCACAAAAGAATGCTGCAAAGACCTTAAGAAGATGGGAAAGCTATGCCAAGATGAGATTGTCAAGGCTTTTCTCAGCATCCCTCTGGTCCAGCCAAGTCGTGCCGAAGAGTCTCAGATTTTGTCAAAGAGCACACAAATTTGGAGCCAGTGTGTCTCGCTTGGGCATGTTGTTGGAGAAGCTGCTGTCTCACCCTCACCATCTCGAAGCTCTTTCGAATAAGCTTTGATTTTGATTTTTCTCTGCATTGCGCCGTCTAGCTACCTTTTTGAGCGTATTGACATGCATTACATTGGATGTTTTTGAGCGACATTATAATATCTTTTTCTTCCATCGAATAAATTTATTTAGTTTTCGAGAAAAAAAAAGCGTCCTTAAAGAAAATTAGTAACATATTTTTGTCGATTTTCATTTCAAAACTGGCATGTCCAAATCCAATGCACCATTTATTGTGTGAGTCCTAGCTTAATTAGACAAGCATCTATATATATACTTTACTAAAATCTAAACCCGAAAGATGGGTGTTGGGGAAGTTGGCCAAATTGCTTTGTATCATGTGGCTTCTTGAATGAATTAATCTGTTTATTATCTGGCCATAAGTAGGGCTCAAAATCGAACGAGCTTGAGCCGAGACTATCAAGTTCGATTTTTTAAACAAGTTTAAAAAATGTTCAAATTCAATTAGTTTAAAAAACGAGTTGAGCGAACTAAATACGAGACGAGTCTATCAAGCATGTTTTTTAAACGAATTTAAAAAATTGTTCAAGATCTGCTCCTTTAGAAAATGAATAAAACTTGAATGAGCCCAGAATAAATTGAACTTGAGCCAAATTGGAGTAGCTCAGTTCAATTATCAGCCTGAGCTATCAGGCCTTAAAAATTCTATTGCTTTATCTTCTTGAAAATTCCATTCAAAACCCAAGATGCTCGAATTCGGGTAATCTTTTTTTATTTTAACATAATAAAGCAAGGAAGATTACTCTCAATTTAAAGGCTGACTGGAAATCTACATTAAATTCAGCTTTTTGTGAGAATATATTCTGGTGATGCTAGCAACTGTTTTGTTTGTGGATTGGAATGCAAAGATAGCCAAATTCGCGTCAATAATATGTCAAAGTTGTTCAATGGTGCTTGAGACTTGAGACACAATGATCTACAGACGCCATACATCTTTCATGGAAATAGTTTGACAGGACAAAAGAAAATAAATACATAACAGGGGAGATTATTTCATTATATTTGTTATTGCTAGAGTTACATTATTCTCTCTCACTTCCCCCCCCCCCTCTTGAGAGTGAGACAAACTCATAGAGCTACGACAAATATTAAACTTAGAACAATGAGAATTTCCTGATAATATATATGTGTGGGGGACAACCATCTCAATCCATCACTTGCTCATGGTGGAGTAGTGATACCTGCAGAAATTAGATTTCATATACAGTAAGTTTATAACATGCAAAAATCAACGTAAAATAATGCTTCATTTCATCAACCTGAATGCATTTAGACACAGAATAAAGAACCCTTTCCAAAGTGTCCGATTGTGTGTGACTTGAAAGATACCGATCGACATATCATTACCATTCCTAGTGTCAAGAGAGGGTACAATAGCGGTATTCGTGAAATGATCGATGTTTATGAAAAAGTGGTGAACATGATGAGAGATTTATGTGATAACTTTAAAACTCGTCAAAGACATTGAAAATGTCTCCTAGTAAACCATATGTCAACTCGACTTGTGGTTTATACAGATGTGTCTTTGTGTGTGTGTGTGTGAGAGAGAGAGAGAGAGAGAGATTGATTAGTGCTTACTCCCACACTTGAAGTTGCGAGGGACGGCCCTTCCGCAACCTTCAATCTGCTTGATGGTACGTTGAACTCCGATGAGGGCTGCCAACTTAGAGGTAACAGAGGGGCACACACACTCAACTTGGGTGACCCTAACACGCTGGCAACAATCAGCAGAAGGGTTTTGTCCAAAAATGACAGGCCTACAAGCATTAACCAGAAGCCTTTTCTCCTCCTTGCACTGGCTAGGGGTCGTAGCTCCACTAACCATAGGAAACACACAAACATCTCCCACCATTAACACCAACACAAGCATTCCCACCCATGATCTTACCCTCAATGTTCCTCTCATCTTTCTAATTAACTTGGTTCTGTTCGTGCACAACCAACTACCCATTTATATAGGGAACTGGAATGCTCATATTGTCCATTGCCGTCTCCTTTACGCCTAGGTGTCTTTGTCAAGGACCTGTAGTCTATCACATCCCTTGAAATGTATTCAAACTTAGCCAAAACTAATGAGCTTAATTTGTATGGTCTTGGCTTAAGAAGACCGCGTCTCATTTTTCTTGAAGTAACGTTATTGATATTTAAAAAATTGATTTAATATATTAATCCAATTATGTGTGGGTGATATGATTTAATAGCATTACTCTAACTACAATTGTCTAACTTCTTCGCCGAGACTATATCACTTGACACAATATTAAGTCAAACTATTATGTTAGGTTCTTAGGTTTCACATGTATTACTATTTTTCTTATATTTAATAGTGTAATCATGAACTTTATTTATTGACTTTATCAATTTCTCTCATTAGATTAACAGTGGACTCTAGTATTAGTATAATACATCATATAAACAAATAAGATAACTAAATTAAGTGCAAATAACATTTTCTTTTGTACTATATTCTTTAATTTTGTTCATTCCTATAGGTGAAGGTAAAAAGATAAGACAAAGCTCTCTCTCTTTCACACACACATATTGTTGTCTTTTTGTTTTTGGCAACAGATTAAACAGAACTATAAAGACCTAATTTGACTAATTAGCCATTCAATTGTTTGCATTCAATGAGTCATTGTCTGAATTTACCAAAATTTGAAAAGTCTTCTTATGCTAGGTTTGGCTTTGGGGGTGGCCCCTATTGCAACGGGAAATTGTATGGTCTTTCTAGTGTAAAAGCAAAGAAAAAAAAGGGCAAGTCTAGTACTTTTATAAGAACCTGATGACAAACCATGTCTACTCACTTCCCTTTGTCATATCTGGTTACTTGGTTGAATATTATAGTCTCTGTTTATATTGACGGGGACTAAATGTCTTTCAATTCTTAGGTACATGCAAAGAAATTTTCGAGCCTTTCCTAGCTCGTAAATTTTTTAAGGAGCTGGTAAACAATTTGGGACCCAACAGGCAAGTTAAGGGTAGGTGGAAGTTAGAGAAAATAGTGGCGTGTTCAGACCAAAATTGATTGATTAATCTTTAGCAATTTAAGCCGAGACGACGACGAGACTACTAAGGACGGTCTCAAGCTACGTACATAAGTCGCCCAAGAACAATGGGGAAGAACTATTGTATTCGAGGCTACCTTTTGATTTAGAGGTCAAGTTACAACTCAATAAAATTAATCTCGATCAATTTCAATATACTCCGATCAATCTTGAAACTTTATGCAGTTGTAATTTGACCAAATTGAGTTGTAATTTTTTTTTTCTTCAAGTTTTTCAATTACGGTACTGCAATTAGGTACGATAGACTATTTTAGAAAATTGTATCCAAGGTTTGGAAAAAATAGAAGTTATCAGACCGCGCAAAATGTGAATGCTCCTTCCTGATGTCAACCATCGCTCCATTATGACGTTTACCTTTCCTATTCCTAAGTTGTCTCATCAAAAAAATTTTATTTCTAACAGATTTTTCTAAATAATTCCCAAATTTTCGATATAGAACCGATTAGTCATGAATATTGCATGATTAATATAATAATAGGTGATTAATTACATTGGGTAAAGAGATAAATGAGTATATTTAATGTGTTTTAGATTTTATCTTCTTTTTGTAGTGTTGCCTATTTTTACAACTAATTTGGTTGAGTTAAAGATTTGAGTGAGATATATGTAAAGAAGAGAAGATCCAGAGCAATAAGGAGTAAAAAAAGAGATGCTACAAAGTGCATCTAGACAGCCATGACCACGCATTCGGACGTGACTTCTAGAAGTTGCAAAGGGAGGTTGAAGACATGTGTCCAGACAGAGGAGAATTTGCTACTGGGTGTTATCCCCAGTAGTTGAAGGCAAATCGTAGAAGCAATGCATCTGGATGATTGGAAACATACGTGTGAACGTAATGAGCAGAGAAACCAAGAAAACAAGGTGCGCCCCTAATGATCCAAAACGCGCGTTTAAACGCGATGACGTTGGCCATTAACATACAGTCAAATTAAAACTTTTTTCCTTCTCACTCAAGAAAAAAAACTAAAACTTGACTGCATTCTTCAAGACCTAGATCTATAAACATTTGGAAACATGAAAGTCCAATATCAATGCCTCATATTATTGGACCTTGTGATTTTCAGAGATTGACAATAACACTGCGCGTGTGGATACATCTAAATTTTATTTATATAAAATAAACTATTGAACTTCTTTTGAAAATGGGTGAATTACATTTTGCACCCTTAAAAATTTAAATTTATCATATTATACCTTAAGTGTATTACAAGTGTTTCAAAGTGATTCTTCCATCAGTTTTTATTTCTCATGTCATCGACATCAATAGGATGGTTTTTTACAGAATGAGGAACCAAAAGTAACAGAAGTGTCACATTGTAATACTTTTGATACATTGAGGATGAAATATAAAAAATCTAATCTTTAACAGTGCAAAGTGAGAATTCTTTAATAAATCCCCTTCGAAAATTATAAACTAGAGTTTTTTGGAAGTCGGTCCCTACGCCAAATAGAATTCCAAAATAAACCCACTCACCAATTTTTTTTTTTTTTTGGTATTAGGTCTCTATTGGAAAATCAAAACAATAGACATCACTAATGCCTTTTAAAAAATGAAAAAATAACAATAATGTCATCACTTAATTGAAACAAATATTCTAAAAAACTATATCATCATAATATACCTTCTTCTCCATAAACACAAATCGTCAACTAGGTACATTAAAACATATATCGTCAAACAAGTACATTAAAACATAGATCGTCAAACAAATACATTAAAACACAGATCGCCAGACAGAGTACCCAATAATCGTGAGACAAATACAATAATTTTCTCCATAAAACACAAATCGTGAGACAAGTACACACAGTAATCGTCAAACAGGTACACTAACCTTCTTTATAAAATACAAATTGTCAGGTACACAACAGATGGAACCCAACAACATCAAGAAATTAAAGAAGAAAAGGGGAAAGATGAAGAGCCCATAAGCCCAGAAACTTTGACGTTGGAGTACAAGTAAATATGAAACAAATCTACTTATCTTGTCCATATAATACGTTTTTGTCTTCTTCAAGTAATGTTGTTCATGACCTTTATAGATGGTAGTGGATCGAAGTAGGGGCAGGGGATATAGTCTTCATCCCTATACTTGCTTAAAACAATTTCGTATATTCTTGGTCCACTTCCATTAATAAGTATAATTTTTATTCCATCCCCATTCGTTGGTAAATTTATAATTTTCGCCCTTGTCCCCGTCCACCTCTCCCGGCCTAGCCCAAGCCCAACACTAAGTCCAAGACCAAATCAACATGATGAGTCCAAAATTAACTGGGCCAAGCCCAATTAATTTAAATCGAGGAAGCCCAATCAAAGCTGGGTCAACCCATCAAGAGAAGCCCTAATTACTGGAGCCTAAAACGAATTGGACCTGCTCACAAGTCAATAAAGAGTCAAGTGGAGTCCAAGCCAAAGGCCAACGCCCAAGTGAGAGGCAAAAGGGCGTCGCCCAAGGCTGCCCCCTAGCCTTTTCCTTCGCCCTCTTCACTATAATGCAAATCCAAGACTAATCCAAGTCAAGTTCCAAGTCCAGGTCCAAGCTCAAGATCAGGATCATCCTCTGACGAAATAGGGACACAAGCGACGGAAATCTAATCCTACTAAGATTGTACTTACCAAAATAGTGGAAGACCTCTCACTTACGTCACCGCCTTACCCAAACTATATAATGTACGCCCTCTCAATATTGAGGACACGCCTTTGAAATCTCTACACCTCCCCTTATACACACTCCTCTCTCCATCTCTAAGCATTATAATACTCTTGGAGAATACTTTCTTCGGCAATTTTACCTATTAATAAAAGACTTAGGCCACCGTTGCCGTTTACAAGAATGGGTAGGTTACCCGAACCGAACCACTATAAATCTCTGTGTTAGCTCTTTATTTATTGTTTTATCATTAATTTTCTGTTTACTGCTCATTGACTGCCCCCGTTTACATTCTTGATTGTTGATCTTGCTCAAAGTCGATTTGTGCATCATCAGTTTGGTGTCGTTTATGAAAAATGACTAGTTTTCCTCCTTTTCTAATCTATGACAATCACTACCCGATCAATGAGACAACAACTGGGAGGCAATAACCCGACTCACCGGGAGGAGGTTCCGCCTCCCTCATACCTTCTAAACCATCTGCTACGACAACTCCCGCCGAACAACAACAACAGCTCCTCCAAATCATGCAGTTGTTGGTGAATCAAAACTAACAGATCATCCAGTTGATGCTCGCCCAAGTAGGCGTCGCCCCTCACCCTGTGGAAGGAGCCTCATTGCCTCCAACAGTAGGAGAACAACACCCTGTCCTTTATGGGCCCCAGGCAGCCCCCCACCATAGGGTCCCTCGCCAGAACACCCCAGGGCGACGTTAAGGCGCCCCTCGCCCAATAGTCCCTCCTCAGCGTGCAAAAAGTCCATGAGTTCCCTAGGAGGGCGAAGACAGAGAAAGTCAATTCGGAGACCACGAAAGCTAGTACCATCACCCGATTGAGAATATTCCCAACCACTCGAACGACAAGATTAGGGAGGTGCAAAACCAGCTTGGTGATGCCCTCAACGCCATCAAGACACAGACGTCTGAAACCGTGGACTACTTGGTAAGACGTACTGATACGCCTTTTATTGCTGATATTATTAATTATTCTTTGCTTTCGAAGTTCAAGATGCCCATTGTTGAGATCTTCGATGGCACCAAGGACCCGCTCGACCACCTTGACACATATAAGTCCCTCAGGCAACTTCACAACGTGTCTGAGGAGATTATGTGCAGGGGTCTACTTGCCAGTGGTTCTTCAAGCTCAAGCCTTTCTCCATCCATTCTTTCGTCGAGCTGAGTAGGTCCTTCGTTTCCCACTTCATCGGGGGACGTCG